TCCATAGAAGTAAAATATGAGTTATCATTGTTTTTTGAACAAAAATCTTAACATGGTAAAGGATTTGCATTGCATTCTTGAGTAGTTTGAATTAAATGATAATCAAACTAATTTTAAATTATCTATTTTAATATTAGAAAATTATATATTTTTAAAAAGAATATTTTGGTATTTTGGAATAAGAGCTTAGAGGGCATTTTAGACCTTAATAATAATTCTTGATGCATTTGTAATTATTTTTCTTAATTCAATCAAAGTAAAAAATCAACTTTTAAAATTGATCAATTTATTATTTAGAATCGCTAAGTCTATCTACGTGCAGTTTTCCCTTTAATTTTAAAAAAAAGGCTTTCAATCATCATCCAATAAATATTGGTGTGTATCCAAGATTTAAAAATTAAAAAAAAAAAAGCAAAAAGAAATAAAGAAAATTTCTCTCTCTATATTATGCCATATTTCTAAACGTTCTTTGTTTTGATAATTTTGTTTATGTTGATTAACAATTATTTAACAAAAAAAGCTTTTTCTAGAAATTTGTGCTAAAATCAAATATATGAATAATAAGGTATTATTTAGTGGGCCTCCTAGTTTTCTATGTGGTGCACTCATATTGGATTCTCCTTTCCATTTTTTTTTTCTTAGTTTCCTTCCCTTGTTATTTACCCGAATTAATATATATATATATATATATATATATATATATATATATATATATATATATGGATAATGGTTATCAAGAAAAATAAAGAAAACTTGCCATTCGTTTTTTGTTTAAAACAATTAAAAAGAAAATTTTAAAGTTGAAAAAACATATTTTCATGTTGATCTCTAAAGAAGTATTGTTTTAGGCCATCTGCACTAGTCTCTTCGGAGTTTGGCTCTCTAAAAATGCCCCATCAACTTTTTTCAAGAGCCACATCAGCAATTCCATGAGTCACGTCCAGAAACATGCACTTCATTAACCTCTCCGAATTTTACCTTTTCTTAAAAGGCACTAATTGAAATTAATTATTATTTTTTTAACTTTTCTTAAAAGGCACTAATTGAAATAAGAAAATAAGGATTACAAAATTCTACAGCAATAAGTAAATGAATTTGTAATTTTAATTATTTTTTTAAAAAAAAGTTATAAAAAAAAAAAAAAAATTATAGCCATTAAGGCACTATTTGTGTCCGCCAAACAATGCCTTATTATGAATATATGGAATGAATTAAAAAAATATCTAACTTTTTAGGGCAAATAATTGTTTAATTTTCTTATTTTGCACCACCTTGAATTTGTTATATCATTCTAAACATGTAATCTCATGAAATTGTGGGAGAGGAACATATTCTCAAGTATTAAAATGGTAATGGTAATGGTATAAGCTCTTCGGTTTTTTTTAAGAAAGTTGAATGTCCAAACTTTAATAGAGACAAAATTATGTACTCATTACTTCTTTGCAAACTAATGAAAAATAAGACGTTCAATATATTTGTTTTTGTGCGAGGGTGAAATAAAATAATAATAATAATAAATAAATCAAATATTGATTTTTAAAATATTGGTCTTACAAGACTTAGTATTATAAAAAGTAGGGGAGCCTATTATTGAGTGACTTCATTTTCAACCAAGCACTAAGGTTGAGACCAAAGTTACGCCCAAAGCACCCAATTTTTTATTTTAACGACAAAAAAAGTAGTTGAGATAGTCTAAGTTTAGGCTAGTAAGCAAGCATTCTCATTGGTGAGAAAAGGTGGACAATGGAATTTGATGTTGCCAAATAAATAAAAAAGAGAAACGACATGTATAAATTATTTGGGTTAATTTGCAATGTCTTAAGTTGAGTTCAAAATAACATAAAATAAGAACAAAAGTGAGAGCGAATTTGAGCGTTGGAGTGCAAAATCGGCAAAATGAAGTCACAAACCGAAATGAGCAATAGTGAAAACGACATCCGTCGAAAAGAATTATATAAATTAAGTTAAGCTAACCCAAAAACCTCTTTACTATTCCAAATTATATAATGCAAGGTGTATAAGAAAAAACTTTACTATATAAAAAAATTACAAAAAAACATCCATATTAGAGTAGTATGTACATGTAAATCTTTAATATTTAAAAATATGTACATATTAGCCCTTGGCCATCATTTTGACCAATTTTTTTTAATTAAAATTTCAAAATACTCTTAATAATCAATGTTTTATGAAATCAGTGTTTTTAATTTTTATTTTGTCTTAGGGACATTTTAGATATTTTAATCTTCAAATTGATAAAATATTTTTATTTGCTCAATTTAAAAAATATAGAGATTTTTTAAAAATACCAACTCAATATTTGAATATTTAGCATATAACTGGAGGAATTTTTACACTTCACACTTACATATATATATATATTCTTTGAATATATATGCATACCCAAAAAGATAATAAGAAAGTAGTATTATATGCAGATTGCAGAGTATGTTTTTTCAGATCCACGTTCTATTATTTGTATTATGTGTCACCTTACGTTTTTCATGTGTTTGTCAAAGTTATCCGCCGTCTTGTTTTACTTGAAAGTCAGACAAAAATATTTAAAATCTAAAACTAAATTGAAGTAGTCTAAAAGGCTTCACTACGTACTCAATTTCTAAATGCATTCACAGTTGGGGGCTCAAACCATCTTTTGTCCTACTAAATTAAAGTCAGCTTAATTCTTTGAATCTAAATCAACATTGGCATGCTACCACTGCCTACCTGGCTACCCACCTACCTCTTATATATATATATATATATATATATATATATATATATATATATCTTTGAATCTAAATCAACATTGGCATGCTACCACTGCCTACCTGGCTACCCACCTACCTCTTATATTATATATATATATATATATATATATATATATATATATATATATATATATATATCTTTGAATCTAAATCAACATTGGCATGCTACCACTGCCTACCTGGCTACCCACCTACCTCTTATATTATATATATATATATATATAATATAAGAGGTAGGTGGGTAGCCAGGTAGGCAGTGGTAGCATGCCAATGTTGATTTAGATTCAAAGAATTAAGCTGACTTTAATTTAGTAGGACAAAAGATGGTTTGAGCCCCCAACTGTGAATGCATTTAGAAATTGAGTACGTAGTGAAGCCTTTTAGACTACTTCAATTTAGTTATATATATATATATATATATATATGGTTGAATCTTGAACAGTCTTCATGATCCACACTCATGGCTGAAAATGGGTATCTCAAGATAATTGGGGATTCTCATTTTTAACAACCTTGTATTTAGTGGGACTATAGTTGCTAAATTTTGAACGTTTCACTTGATATAGAAAAATCATATATTTTACTCACTATTTTTATACAACTATATAACTACCTTTATACAATGATATAATTGATTTGATTTTGATGCCGTAATTAATGATTGTTGTATATATTTAGAAAAGTGTTTTGATTTTTTTAAGATGCTAACAGGAGTCTTGTTGGACTCTTTCCATTAGAAGAGTTACGAAAACCTATTAATTTTTGTAGCATTACTTTTGAAATTTGTGGTTTAGTGATACATTTTTTTAGTTTCATAATGAAATTTAGAGAGTTTAACTTTTAAAACTTCCTAAGAATATTGTAGAAGATCTTTATTAGAAAAAAAAAAATCAATATTTATTTGTATATGTATTTTGAAAAATTGACTAAGAAATCATTTTGGCTTAGACTAGATAATTTTTTAATATATGCCTTGTGGTTTAATGATATTTTTTTAACCTCTTAAAATAAATAACTAGTGTTCGAGTCTTCAAATGAGTCAAATGAATATATGAATGATGTGTGTTTTTTAACGATAATATATATATATATATATATATATATGCCTTGATATGCAATATTTATTACAATGGCTTTGTAGTATTCTCATAACTTTGAGAGTCAGAAGGAATCACAAAGCCAGGATGACCTCCGTAACTTATCATTTATTTTTCAAAAAAAAAAAAAAGAATTATTTAATTTTTTTTTTTAATTATTTAAATTGACTCATTTGGTGTATTTTTACTGTATGATACTTATTAGATTAATTGAAAAGTATGGTAAAACCTTCACCATGTAGCACAAGAAAATGTGAACATGAACCATATATGATTCGATCCAATTTTTATTTTGGTTGGTAAATTTCCATCCAATTTCAACAATTATAAAGTATTGAAAGGGCCACCAAAAGATGGTATGCGTGTATGCTTCCATTGAAAGACTTGGTGGTTGATAATTTCTGGTTCTTCAAAGGGACGGTTGATGGTGTGTCCCGGGGGTTCTGCATTTATGAAGAGTTGATGGATTCCAAATAAGATGGCCTTGATTATGAAAGCTACATTTTAATCACTGACTCATATATATATATATATATATATATATATATATATATATATATTTTCCTCCCATTGTCAAATTCTGATTTTGAATGAATTACACAATTTTTTTTTTTTTTTTTTTTTTTTTTTTTTTTTTTTTTTTTTTTTTTTTTTTCTGAAAGGTTATGAATTACACATTTTTGATATATATGTAAAGTGCAAAAAAATCACTGCAATATATCGAATATGCAAATATCTAGTGTTCAAAAAAATTTGTATATTATCAAATTGAACAAATAAGGATATTTTTTTTTAATTAAAAATTAAAATACCTAAAATGCTCTTAAAAAAATAAAAATTTTAAAAACTGAGAAAGAGGGGAGAGAGAGATTATTAAGGATATTTTGAGGTTTTTATAAAAATATTTAGTCAAAATTGACCGTGAACAGATTTGCAAAACTTAGGGGGCAATTTGTACATATTTCAAATGTGAGGAATTTATATGCACATATTACATGTATTTTTTACACATTTTTTATATAGCGGATTTTCTTTTACATATATATATATATATATATATATACCTTTATTTCATAATCAATTGCTGATTTTTTTGGGTGACAGACTCGTGAAATTACTCTATAATCCTTTTTTACAACAAAATATCAGTTTGTTATCCCTTTGTTTGTCTGTTCCACTTTCCTTCTTAAAATGCTATAATTCCATTTTGAATTACTCAAACCCATTTTCTTTGAAAACAAATAAACCTTTTTTATTAAGCAAGTTTGCTCCTATAGTTCTTCCATTGAGCATGGAGATAGTTGCTGGGCCTGTGGTCTCTTTTGTTGTTGAAAGGATTGGTGATTGGTTGATTAAAGAAGCAAACCTGTTAACCGGAGTACGCTCTGAGGTCAAGGCAATTGGAGATGAGCTAATCCGGATGAAATGCTTCCTAAAAGATGCAGAAGCAAAGCATAAAGCAGGAGCGATAGAGCGTAACTTTGTTATAGAAATTCAAGACATCGCTTATGATGCTGAAGATGTTATCGAAACTTTTGTCCTCATGAGGGAGAGAAGAGGAGGTGATATCCAATATTTTTTTATAAGATATGGCTGCATCTTTAACAAACTTAAAGATCGCCACAATGTTGGGTCAAAGATCAAGGCTATTAAAGTCAGGATTTCTCAACTTTCCACAAGTTTACAAACTTATGGTATAAGATCTATAGCGGAAGGTGATCAAGGGTCATCAAGTTCAGCACACGAAAGGCAACGTCTACTAAGGCGAACATATTCTCATGTTATTGAAGATGATTTCATAGGCTTGGAGAATGATGTGAAGAAATTGGTGGAATATCTGTTGAATGAAGACAAAGATAGTTACAACTGGCATCAAACTGTTTGTATTTGTGGCATGGGTGGTTTGGGCAAGACCACTCTTGCTCAAAAAGTGTACAGTCACAAAGATGTTAAGCGTTACTTTGATGGTGTTGCTTGGGCTTGTATATCTCAGCAACTCCAGAAACAAGATGTTTTGCAAGAGATCCTGATCAAATTTATCCCTGAGAAGAAGGACGAGATTCGCCGTATGGGAGATGCAGAGCGGACCAGAGAGCTCCATCAAGTCCTATCTGAAAAAAAATGTTTGATAGTTCTTGACGACATTTGGGAACAGGGGGACTGGGACATCTTGAAATCTGCATTTCCCATTGGAAAAAGGAGTTGCAGCAAAATATTACTCACCACACGTAATAAAGAATTGGCTTTACACGTGAATCCACATGGATTACTCCATGAACCACCATTGTTGACTGAAGGTGAAGCTTGGGAACTGCTTCAAAAGAAAGCACTTAGAAGAGCACATGGTTCATCAGGTAATTAGTGGTATATAATTAGTCCCCCCACTCCACATCATTGCATTGTTGTTAAATTAAATCTCTCTCTATATATATATTAATTATTGGGTGGTTAGTTTTGTGGAGTAAATTTTCCACAAAAATGACCTTGATTGTTTCTTAAAGGACTAGGTTCTTGCAAGACAAATGTAAATAACTCGAACTAATGTGCTACCTAAAAAGTTAGAAATTGAATTTTTAGAAATAATTCGGAATTTGGAGAGCTAAAAATTATATGACTACTGTATACTATTTCAAGTTTCGTGAACAAACACAATTGAAATTCCAATTTGATTTTCTCAAACAAACTCAAATAATTTTAGGATAGTCATATTAACATTTTAAGCGGCATCATTAATATCTAGTTTTTCACTTTAATTTTGTCACATTTCTTTTTTATGTGTGTGTATATATATATATAATTTTTTAGGTAAATAAAAATCCATTTTTGGTCAAAAAAAATTTTAAAAATAGTTCTTTTATATTTTTTTCTTTCCTTTTCTATCATAATTTCTTAGACTTAATATAGCTTAAAAGTTTTAAATTTTTTCTTTTTTTTTTTTTTTTTTGTTGTCCTTTATGAAAAAAATTGTTCCCTGTTGTAATTACTACTACTACTACCATGTTGGCTTTTGCAGAAATTAGACATGACCAAGGAATTAGTTTTCCACTTTAATTTTCTCACATTTCTTTTATATATATATATATATATATATATATTTCTTTCCTTTTCTTTCATAATTTCTTGGATTTAATATAGCTTAAAAGTTTAAATTTGATTGTTGTGGTGTACGTTTTTCCATAAAGGGTACTTGTTGTTTGGCATATCAATGTTTTTTAAATATTTTATTGTCCTATATGAACGACCGTCGTTCCCTTTTATAACTACTACTATGTTGGGTTTTGCAGACAATAGACCTCTGAAAAAGATTGAAGAGTTGGGGATCAAAATGGTTAGACATTGTGGAGGTCTACCATTAGCTGTTGTTGTGCTTGGAGGTATTTTGGTAACCAAACATACAGAGGAGGAGTGGGAGAAAGTGCATAGGAATATTAATTCACACATAAGTAAGGGCACAAGTGTGGGGCATGAAGATGGAGGAGTATCACAAGTGTTGGGTTTAAGTTACGATGACTTGCCATTTCAGTTGAAGCGATGCTTTCTCTATTTAGGCAGCTTTCCGGAGGATTCTCGGATTGAATTAGAGAAATTATATGAATTGTGGATAGCTGAAGACTTGATATTGTCAGGTGACACAGAAGTAGAAGACACAATGATGGACGTCGCAGAGCGTTACTTGAGTGAATTGGCACAAAGGTACATGGTTCACTTGGGAGTAGAGGAGGCCATAGATATATTTGGCAATTATGAAAGTTTAAAATATTGCAGGCTTCACGACATGATGCGAGAATTAAGCAAGTCAAGAAGTAAAGAAGAAATTTTTTTCAATGTGATTGATTCTGAGAAAATTTCATCATCATCATCAAATGCTAAAGTACGCAGAGTTGCCATCCATGGCCATTTGGGGAAGGAGAAGAATTATGGTGATTGGCTTTCAACTCACCTTCGGTCGGTGCTTTTATTCGGAGGATATGATTGGAGGCCGTGGCATTGGAAAGACTTGAAGGTGTTGAGAGTTGTTCATCTTGAAGTGAGGGAACTTGGAAAGTTACCCAAAGCAATTGGAAAGTTAATCCATTTGAGATACTTGAGTTTAAAAGGTTGTGAAGGACTCGAATCGTTGCCATCATCTATAGGCAACTTGAGATGCTTGCAAACCCTAGATTTAAGGGATAATTATATGAGAATACCAAATGTGTTATGGAAGATAAAAAGCTTGACACATCTATATCTTTGTGAACATATAAAAAGACAAGGAAAAAAGATGAGATTGTCAGGGTTGGGCAAGCTGGAGATCCTGAAAAATTTCGATTCAAGTAGTTGTGATGTTAAAGACCTATCCAACCTTAAAAATCTTAGGAAACTGACAGCACGTTTTTATCGTGACCACGTGGGGGTGGCCGACTTCGTCAATTATCTAAGAAGCCCCAGTCGGCTACGGCACTCATCAATTCTGATGCACCACGACTTTATGTCAGAAGAAGAGCTAATTGTTTTGGTAGAGTGTCGTCATCTTAATACATTGAGATTACATGGTGTTATCGGAGGTGGTAAGTTACCTGCAGTACACCACTTCTCTCCAAGCCTCACCACATTGTCTTTAATTAGATCTGAACTCAAGGAGGATCCAATGCTAACACTGGGGAAACTGCCTAACTTAACACACCTCACCTTGGGGAGTGCCTTTGAGGGAGTGGAAATGGTTTGCTCTGAGGAGGGTTTCCCTCAACTCAAATTTCTACGACTTGTCCGTTTATACAACTTGGAGGAGTGGAGGGTGGATGAAGGAGCCATGCCCAATCTTTTTAAATTACAAATTATTAATTGCCGGAGATTGAAGATGGTTCCAGATGGATTGAAATTCATATCTACCCTTCAGGAATTGAATATATGGAGGATGCCACATGAATTTGTTAGAAGACTTGGAGGGGTAGATGGAGAAGAAGGAGAAGATCAATACAAAATCCAACACGTCCCTAGCATCCACATGTGAGCACTCAATCACATGATTGCTGTGTTAAAAATTGCTCTAATGTGCACGAGTATGTCTCCTTTTGATCGGCCATCAATGCGAGCAGTTGTGCTGATGCTGATCGAGTCAAAGGAGCTAGAAAGGAATTTTATTTCATCTCCAGTTTATGATCTTCCTCTGAAAAAAGATGATGCCTTGTGAATGTATGTAACAGTTTCTTTCATTAACTGGGATGATTTCTTACTGCTGATTCTTCCTTGTAACTTTACTATAATTTGAAATGATAAATATCTTCATGTGCATTATTCTTCTTCTTCTCAATAAGATTTCATCACTCATATTTATGGTATATGTTTGGGGGTAATTGATTTTGCTCTTTTTTTTTTTCGAAATCAATACATAAAAATGTTGTTTCCCGGCTGCAGCAGGAATTCTCTCTCTTATTGTAAGCAATTTGCTATATATATTACCCAAGACTTGCAAGAAACAGGGTCTATTTTCTTTTAAATTTTCAGTTATAAATTAGCATTGTTTAAAATTTTCATCCTAACCACAGAAAATAATTTTTCCTCCAGTCATTTTACTTTTTTCACTTTCAATTTCCAAGGTTTTATTTATTTATTATAATTATTATTTTTTGTTTTGAACTAGCTTGGGAAATGTCTTGCAATGTGTAGAGGGGCTAATAACCCGAACTCGAACCCGTGTTGCAATCTATAAGAGTGTACATTTGAATAGGTTCAATTTTTAGCTATATAATATACTAGTGTATGTATATGTGTGTGCGTGTGGTCTCAACCCAGGTCCACATGAGTCTGGGTGTTTTCTTGAGTTGGGTTTGCAACTTAAGCCCAACCCAAGCCCTTAAACTAACATTTCTGATGGATTTGAATTAGAAAATTGGTCCATCTACATATTAGATTGGAAATGTTATTTTCTTCGGCTCATGGTTTAATTTTTCCTTGAAACAACCATGGGCCAAAGAAAATTATACAACTGGTTGAATCTCATTCAAATCTTTGAGACTCTAATGAAAAACTTTCAACTTAATTTACTTACAGATATTGGTTTGAATTTTTAAAAATTTTGATAGATTCAAACTCATTCCAATATAAAAATACTCTACAGTTGATCTCTAAACTGATACTACAAACACAAGAAGATTTTAGTAGACCAATCCAAGCCATTATTGTACTTTGTTAAGTAAGGTGCATCGAAATAGAGACACTCCAATTATTATACTAACATGTTTCAAGTTTGCTCATTTTACAATAGAAATCACAAAAAAGGTTGTTAAAAGAGTCTCTAGGAGAATTTAGATTTTCTTTTGCACTGCGTCATGTGATTTTATATCGCTTATACAATAATTTTACATTCTTATTTAGTGATTACCCTTTACAAAACTTCAACCACTATGGCTTCACAAAAAGAAGATTAGAATAAAGTACGATTGTGATATGCTCCGTACTTTATTGTATTCTTAGCTTCAAGTTTGCAATGATACTTTAACTATGTTTGAGGAATTCTATTATTGTTTAGGAGAGAATACTTTATCGTATTCGTCCATTTGGATAGCCAATTACATTTAGGCTCCGTTTGTTTGAATGTAAATTATTTTTCAAAATATATTTTTTTATTTTCTGGTGTTTGGTTATCGTAAAATATTTACGAAGAAAAAAATATATTAAAATTTAACAAAAATAACTTATCCATCAATTTTCGGCAAGTTATTTTACGTGCCCCGCTCGATGGACTCAACATCAACCTCGGCGTAGACCTTTGCCAAGCATCGACAAAGTAAAAACAAAAGAATATTTTACCTGAAAAATAAAAATATTTTTCAAAAAAAATATTTTACGTCAAAACAAACGGAGCTGTAAAATCAAGCTTTTGACTAAAAAAAAATTCTTAAGAGGGGTCTATCTTCTTTAAAATTTTCAGTTATAAATTAGCATTGTTTAAAATTTTCATCCAACCAAAGAGAATAACTTTTCCTCCAGTCATTTTAAGCTTTTTTACTTACAATTTCCAAGTTTTTAATTATTTATTATAATAATAATAATAATAATTTTTTGTTTTTAACTAACTAAACGGAGCCTTGGAATGTCTTGCAATCTGTAGAGGGCTAAGAACCCGTGTTGTAATCCATAAGGAAGAGTGTGTATATATCTCTGGTCTCAACCCAAGTCCACATAAGCCTTGGATTTTTAAGCCCAACCCAAGCATGCTTTTGTATCGCGTTTTGCACTAACTATACAAAACGGGCCAGCATAGGATGCCATCCATGAGAAGAGATTCGGATTCGTCTCTAGTTTTTACGAAACTTCAATAAAAAAGAAGATTAGAATAAAGTATGATTGTGAGTAATATATTACTTTATTATATTCTTAGTTTCAACTTTGCATTCTCTTGGTGGATATGGGATTGCTTTTAGAATCAAAAAATTCTTGAGAGGGGTCTCTAGATCTGGATTATCTCCGAAGGAGAAATTTCTCTAGCTCCTTATTTTCTTATAAAGATCTAATTGAATATAAAATATACTCCGTATTTAATTAGTTGTAGGATGTCCCAAAATAATGTTATCCTTTCATTATCACTTTAAGTTTTCAAAAATCTTGTAACTTAATATTATATACATAGGTGGATTAGTCTTACTTAGAAAAAATATAAATAAATAATATATACATTTTTAAACTTAAAATGCCAAGTTGATAATTTTAAAACAAGATAATTTATTAATTACATGTTACATAAAAATTTCTAATATACACCTAATATGGGATGGAGTACTGTTAAGTTAGATTAAACAAACTACAAGTTGCGTGCTTTACAATTATTTATTTATTTATTTTTACGCAACTTAGAGCAACTTGTTCTCTTAAATGTATTATCTTAGTGAAAATTGGTTTTCTTCCAAGTCAATAATTAAAAAATTCTCATAAATAACTCTTTAAAGAATGTGTGTGAATACCAACTATAATAATAATAATAATAATAAAGAAATTCAAGAAACTAACTGTAGCAAAAGTCATGAGACATGCAAGTATTTACTAAAAAAAAAATAATAATAAATAATTTACCAAAAAAAGAAAAGAAAAAGAAGATAAGCAAACCATGTGAGAAATATTCATCATAGAGTCCATTGAAATACAATATGGAAACCAAAAGATCGTTCAAAGGAATAATTAAAGATGTGGAAGAATAGTATGAAAAGTTAAAATAACATATATATATATTGGTCGATTGGAATAAAGTACTCCTCGAAACATGCAGTGACATGAAATGCTTTGTTAGGATTTGGAATAAAGTGCATACATGGGTTGCTTTAGAATGAGGCACCTCCCAGCATTGGTTCCATGTTTGAGATGGAGCAGATATATATAGGTAGCTGTGTGATTGATAAAACACACTTTTTGCAACCACATCATCTATTTAACAAATTAAGCTTGCTCCTATAGTTCTTCCATTGAGCATGGAGATGGTTGATCAAAATGGTTAGACATTGTGGAGGTCTACCATTAGCTGTTGTTGTGCTTGGAGGTATTTTGGTAATCAAACATACAGAGGAGGAGTGGGAGAAAGTGCATAGGAATATTAATTCACACATAAGTAAGGGCACAAGTGTGGGGCATGAAGATGGAGGAGTATCACAAGTGTTGGGTTTAAGTTACGATGACTTGCCATTTCAGTTGAAGCGATGCTTTCTCTATTTAGGCAGCTTTCCCGAGGATTCTCAGATAGAATTAGAGAAATTATATCAACTGTGGATAGCTGAAGACTTGATATTGTCAGGTGATATAGAAGGAGAAGACACAATGATGACGTTGCAAAGCGTTACTTAAGTGAATTGGCACAAAGGTACATGGTTCACTTGGGAGTAGAGTCGTCCATGGATATAGGCAATTATGAAAGTTTAAAATATTGCAGGCTTGACGACATGATGCGAGAATTAAGCAAGTCAAGAAGTAAAGGAGAAATTTTTTTCAATGTGATTGATTCTGAGAAAATTTCATCATCATCATCATCATCAAATGCTAAAGTACGCAGAGTTGCCATCCATGGGCATTTGGGGAAGGAGGAGGATTATGGTGATTGGCTTTCAACTCAGTACAACCTTCGGTCGGTGCTTTTATTTAGAGATAATGCTTTAATTCCGATAATAAATTCATGGCATTGGAAAGACTTGAAGGTGTTGAGAGTTGTTCATCTTGAAGTGAGGGAACTTGGAAAGTTACCCAAAGCAATTGGAAAGTTAATCCATTTGAGATATTTGAGTTTAAAAGAACTATTTTTTAAAGGTTGTAGAGGACTCGAATCGTTGCCATCGTCTATAGGCAACTTGAGATGCTTGCAAACCCTAGATTTAAGGAATAATTATCGTATGAGAATACCAAATGTGTTATGGAAGATAAAAAGCTTGACACATCTATATCTTTGTGAAAGAATAAAAAGAAAAGGAAAAAAGATGAGATTGTCAGGGTTGGGCAAGCTGGAGATCCTGGAAAATTTCGATTCAAGTAGTTGTGATGTTAAAGACCTATCCAACCTCAAAAATCTTAGGAAACTGACAGCAAGTATTTGGAATGATGACGTGGTGGTGGCCGACTTCGTCAATTATCTAAGCGGCTACGACTTTAAGTCAGAAGAAGAGCTAATTGTTTTGGTAAAGTGTCGTCATCTTAATACATTGGAATTAAATGGTGTTATCCGAGGTGGTAAGTAACCTGCAGTACACCACCTCTCTCCAAGCCTCACCACATTGTCTTTAAGTAATTCTAAACTCAAGGAGGATCCTAACTTAACACGCCTCTCCTTGTGGAAATGGTTTGCTCTGAGTTGTGGAGTGATGCCTTTGAGGGAGTGGAAATGGTTTGCTCTGAGAAGGGTTTCCCTCAACTCAAATTTCTACTACTTCACTATTTATCCAACTTGGAGGAGTGGAGGGTGGATGAAGGAGCCATGCCCAATCTTTTTAAATTACAAATTCAGTATTGCCGGAGATTGAAGATGGTTCCAGATGGATTGAAATTCATATCTTATATATATATATATAGTATAGCAACCGAGTTGCTTTTACATGTTTTTTACTATTTTTATTATTTTTAAAAGGTCTTGTCAATAATTGTAATCCTTATTTCTCAAAATTTAGCATTATTTTTCACTTGTAATTTTCCCTTCATAAACTTGCCAATCTTCACATTCTCCTTTTAATTTAATTTTTTTTTTCTTCCTCCCGGCCTTAAATCTAAAATGAAAAATCCAAAACCGTTCTATATATATGCACAGTATAGCAATTCTACTATTATTATTATTATTATTATTTTGAAAAAGACTCGTCAATAATTATAATTTCTTATTTCTGTGTTTTTGCAGTGAGAACTAAAATGAGAGCAGCTTCTGCTTACTGGGGAGATGATGGTAATTGTAGTTTCTTCTTATTTCTATCCTTTTTTATTTTTTCTCCTTGGGTGGTACTAAACAGATATCTTTGCTTCAACTGTTGGTACCTAATCATCTGGTATGCTAAGCATATGCCATCCATATTGTATTTACCAATCCTAATTTTTTTTTTTTTTTGGCTATTGACTCATGAGGATTTGCAGGTCTTGAATGGGAAAAAAATAAAAAATCATGGAAATAAAATGTTGAAATAATTCTCACTCTAGTGCAAAAGACTGCAGTCTACAATTTCCGCTATTACAATGACAACCTCCTAAGCCCTTAGACAAGTCTTTGGGGTTCTTCTCCTGAACTTGGACTTGTGCCCTAAAGCTCTTCCAAAATTACTAGAATAAATAATTCGGCTTGCCCTACAATAAAAAATTACTCCGCACTTCACCTTCATCTTCCTCTGTGTCAATATCAATATGTCTATCTTTATGAAATATTGAATTATAAATATTACGTACGTAGTATTAACTTTTAATAATGAAAACCTATATTGGTGGTTTCAAACTTTTTTGACTAGTGACACTTAGGCCCCAAGTGTCAAAGTGAATTGGATGACCTATAAATTTTGATTGGTTAAATTTAGACATCATCCATTAATGTTCTTAACTAAACAAAAATCGGACGAAGCCTTAATCCAGATTGAATATCAACAACACTCTTAAGGTTGCAGATTAATTAGTCACTGTATTAAATAGTTCACAACGATAAGCCATCACTATTGGTAGTCACATGGTTCTTTCAATGTCTTAAAAGTGAGTATACTTATAGGCCCAGTTTTGGGTGGCTTCTGAAAAGCTACTTTCAGCTAGCTTTTAGAGCTTCAAGAAACCTTTTGCTGTGTGGATGGTTTGAGGCAAAGAGTTTCCAGATTTTGAAAGAGCTTTTGACCACTACCAACTTTGAGAGGCGGCATTATTTATTATTATTATTATTATTATTATTTTTTTTTTTTGAGAATTACTACTTATCCATACAATTACAAATACATAACTATTGAATATCTTTTTGATCAGTTCACATTTTGTAGTTTGCATTAAGTAGACTCTTATATTTTAACTTTGTTTAAACTATAGCCTCATCAATATTCTTAAATTTATATAGTCAGAATCCATTATATTCTTCTAATGTTAGGTTACACATTCTCCATTGCAATATTGTTAGTTGTTCATTTACTTACCTCATTCGAAATCTACATCTCCAGGGATTGCCCAAATTTGATGAAGGGTGGATTCAATGTACTCAAAGTGTGACTGCATAATTGAAACTTGTCAGGTGTTCGATGAAATGCTTAAAGGAATTTGATGGTTGCAGGGAACTCGCAAATGGGTTTGCTTAGAGAAGCTTGTGGTTTGTTTTATCATATGATAAATGATTGTTATGATTGGAAATTGTTTGTTAATAATTTTTACTCTTGCTAGTGTTCTTAAAGCTTGTGTTGCTTTGGTTTTTCTAAGATTGCAGAACAATGCACGTTTGTTTAAATTAACTTTTGATTATGATATATTTGTTGTCGGGTCTGCAATTGATATGCATTCAAAATGTGGTTGTTTAAATATGTCATATTGTGTTTTTGATCGGATGGAAACTCGTGATCTTTTGACTTGGAACACTATAATTATTAGATATATATATGCTCAAACTGATTATGGAGTAAAATCTACTAGAATGCAACATGAAGGTTTTTGGTTTCATGACTTGTGTATATTTAGTCAATGGTAGAAAAAAATTGAATGCTTGAAACTTTAGATTTGCGGCATTGTGTTCAAAATATTAATAATAACATCTCCACATGTAAAAGACATCTCCTTGTAAGAAACGTTAACAACTTTTCTCCCAGTCAATATGCGATGTCACATTTCTCATCGTTGAGGAAGAATGGCGGACCTGGAGAGGCTCCACAACTTGGCAATTGAAGAAGAAAAAATGTTACACGGAGTAATCTTTCAAGTTCAGCAAATCAGAGCCAGAGTTCAAGAGAATGCATGCTTCCTAAAACATGCATATGTAAGCGAAAGTGAAAGAGAGACAATCCACAACTAGGCATTGGTAGATGAAGGGGCATAAAAACCCACTGGACCGAGTCCAGCCCAGCCCACCATTTAAGAAGGAAGCCGAGTGATCTCCCAGCCCATTCTTTCTCATGCGAGGCTTGTTTTAACCTAGGGATCAGCCCAAGCGAAGGATGAGCCCGTTGAGGAAGGATTAGGCCCATTTTATCTTTGGGTTTAGAAAGGCCCAAAAAGTTATTAGGGCAAGGGGAGACTTCTATAAATAAGAAAAGAAAGAAATGTAAAGAGATCCAATAGAGGTGTACCAAAATTTACATTCTGAATTTAGAGAGAGCAGATTACTTCACCTTTAGTAGCTTTGTGGCCAACTTCTTAATTGTTGAAAGAAACATTTTATTGAAATTTTCTGTTATTGGTTCGTTTCCAATACTTAGTCACACACTACTACTTTGCATATAATGAACCATGAATCTATGATTAGTAAACAAGTTATAGATGAATTACTTACAGTATTGCTAAGGAAATCCTAAACTTGCTATTGCCACTTCATTTGAAAACATTAAACAAATCCCCAATAATTCACCTACTAGTCACCCACCATATGTACTTCAATTCCTTTCTATTATTTTTAGTGTGTGAAAATTTTACACAAATATCAAATAGGAAAATGATTTATAGAATGGTATTTTTAAAATTAGTGGAATAAGCCGACCATTTGTACTTCTATTCAGATATATTTTGATCAGAGAAGGTATTTGAAATTATACAATACTGTTTTACAAATACATTACTCTTGATTAGGATGTCATTAAATTATTCTTTACAATTTTATTATCTCACTCTTTGAGGGAGTGGAAATGGTTTGCTCTGAGAAGGGTTTCCCTCAACTCAAATTTCTACTACTTCACTATTTATCCAACTTGGAGGAGTGGAGGGTGGATGAAGGAGCCATGCCCAATCTTTTTAAATTAGAAATTCAGTATTGCCGGAGATTGAAGATGGTTCCAGATGGATTGAAATTCATATCTACCCTTCAGGAATTGAATATAATTCGCATGCCACATGAATTTGTTAGAAGACTTGGAGGGGTAGATGGAGAAGAAGGAGAAGATCAATACAAAATCCAACACGTCCCTAACATCCACATGTGAGCACTCACCATTAAAATAATAAATCATTTTTCTTTCTTTATTTTATTACTTATATATAATGCAAATTTTGTTAGTGCTTCCCAATATTTGGCATTATTTTTCACTTGTAATTTTCCCCTTATAAACTTGCCAATCCTAGTGCTACACTAAATTGATTGTTCCTCTGCTTACCGTCTTACCATTCTCCTTTTAATTTGATTTTATTTCCCCCTCATTTGGCATTAAATCTAAAATGGAAAATCCAAAACCATTTACATATACCCTTATATATATATATATATATAAATAGTATAGTAGCTGAGTTGCTTTTACATGTTTTTTACTATTATTATTATTTTAAAAAAGTCTTGTCAATAATTGTAATCCTTATTTCTCAAAATTTGGCATTATTTTTCACTAGTAATTTCCCCTTCATAAACTTGCCAATCTTAACATTCTCCTTTTAATTTGATTTTTTTTTTTTCCTCCTCATCTGGGCCTTAAATTTAAAATGGAAAATCCAAAACCGTTCTATATATATGCACAGTATAGCAATTCTACTATTATTATTATTATTTTAAAAAAAGACTCGCAATAATTGCAATCTCTTATTTCTACGTGTTTTTGCAGTCCGCCTAAAATTAGAGCAGCTTCTGGGGAGATGATGGTAATTGCTGAAATGCCAACGTATATGCTTAAATGTTAGTCTTATTTTTATGTGATTTGTTTGACCCACAATATGTTTATTTGTATGAAATATTGAATAATAATACTATTTACTATTAATAATGTAAACCTATAGTTAGATTTAAACTTTTTTGAATAGTAATACATAGGTCCAAGTGTCAAAGTGAATTGCTTCATTCTATAAATCTGAATTGGCCAAATTTATCAAATATAAGGAAATAGGAGGTCTCACCAATAAAAAATTGTGGGTCAAACAAATCACTTTAATTGATCGACCTAAAAGACATATTCTCCAATATCTTTTTTTCAAATCTCCAATTCTATTACATTATGTATTTTTAATCAAATCCTCAATAGTCTATGAAAGAAAAATGTACTACCTCGTAAAAAATGTACTTTAGTAATTAGCATCTCAATCGGTCAAAAATTAACGCATTACAGATTATCACAAATTGTGTCTCCTGTTCATCATTAGGTTTAGACATCATTCATTAATCTTCTTAACTAAATAAAAATCGTTTTAAGCCTCTATCCAGATTGAACATCCACACTCTTAAGGTTGCAGATTTGTCAGTGAATTAAATAGTTCACAACAGTAAGCCATCACTATTGGTAGTCACATGGTTCTTTCAATGTCTTAAAAGTGAGTATACTTTTTAGAGCTTCAACCAACCTTTTGCAGTGTGGATGGCTTGCAGCAGAGAGCTTTCAGATTTTGAAATAGCTTTTGACTGCTACAAGCTTTGAGAGGAGGCCATTTTTTTATTTATATTTTTTTATTTTTGAGATATACTACTAATTATACAACCACAAATACATAATAATTGAATATCATTTTGATCCGTTCACATTTTGTAATTTGCATAAAGTAAGATTTTTATATTTTAACTGTTTTTAAAGTATAACCGTATCAATATTCTTAATTTTATATGATCAGAATCCATTACATTCTTCTAATGTGAACACATTCTCCATTGCAGTGTTGTTAGTTGTTCATTTACTTATCTCACTTGAAATCTACAGCTCTAGGGATTGCCCAAATTTGATGCGGGGTGGATTTAGTGTACTCAAAGTGTGTGACTGCATAATTGAAGCTTGTCAGGTGTTCGATGAAATGCTTGAACGAGACGAGATAATGTCTTATGGAATTAAATGGTTGCAGGGTACTCGCAAATGGGTTTGCTTAGAAAGAAGCTTGTAGTTTGTTTTATCATATCATAAATGATTGTTCTGATTGGAAATTGTTTGTTAATAATTTTTACTCTTGCTGGTGTTTTTAAAGCTTGTGTTGGTTTGGATTTTTCTAAGATTCCAGAACAATTCACGTTTGTTTAAATTAACTTTTGATTTGGATATACTTGTTGTCAGGTCTGCAATTGATATTTATTTAAAATGGGGTTGTTTAAATATGTCTCATTTTGTTTTTGATTAATTAGAAACTCGTGATCTTTTGACTTGGAACACTGTGATTACTGGGTATATATATGCTCAAAATGATTATGGAGAAAAAGCTACTAGAATGCAACATGAAGGTTTTTGATTTCATGACTTGTGTATATTTATACTTTATTTTTTTTGTAAAATTTATGAAGATACTCTCGATAAAATTACAATTTGTCCTCATTGAATATTTTTTTTTTTTACTTCAAATGTTTAAGAATTTATGAAGATTGCCCCCACTAAAATTACAATTTGCCCCTACTAATATTTTTTTTTTTTTTTTTTTTTTTTGCATTTTATACTTTAATTTTTTTAAAATTTATGAAGAAAATTTCATTAAAATTACAAAAATGAACTCATCATATAAGTTTGTCCTCACAAATTAAAAGGTCCACTCTCACAAAATTTTCTGGATCCGTCACTGTCTATGTGTATAAGTGGTATGTGGCTTTAAATTTTTATTTTTTATTTTTTTTTCTTTATGTGACTTTTAATTGGAAAATTGAGAGTTAGAATCTAGAATAAAACAAATGGATACTTATTTTTTACCAGTCAACAAATAAAAAAACGTAAATAAATAAAATTAAGGTTGTATGGAATCATAACATGTCTTATTTGAAATACTGGAACGCCCTTATAGTCATAAAAAAACAACCAAAGATTTAGCATAAGTGGTTATATGTTTTATTTTTTTAATTGAAAAATTGAGAGTTGGATTCTTCAATAGAACCAAAGGGGTGCTCATTTTTTTATCGTCCAACAAAAATAAAAATTAATTTAAACTTGTACGGAAAAATGATATGTTATGTTTTTATTTTTATTTTTATTTTTTATCTTTAATTGAAAATTTGAGACTGGAAATCTCCAACAGAACAAATGAGTGCTTATATTTTACCAGCCAAAAAAAAAAAAATTAAGATTGTACAAAATTATAATATTTCTTAGTGAAATAGTGAAGACACCTCTACAGTCACAAAAATGAAAGACAAAAATAAAAATAAATTAAAGATTTAGCATAAGTCCTGTGCGTTCCCGTCTTTTAATTGAAAATAGGTGTTTATATTTTACCAACAATTTTTTAAATAGTAGTAAATAAAATTAAAATTGTACAGAATCATATTATTCCTTATTTCCCTTTTTAATATCCTATGCCAAACCCCAAGTTGTTGTGGAGCCACCAAATGAAAGCATCAGACTACCACCAAACCATACCCCTATTTCAAACAACAAACGCCCCTAAAACCTTCACATATCCACAACAATGGTGTACCCAGTTGGGTTTTTATGAATCTTGAAATCATTCATAACAACAAAAACAAGTATGAACGGAGACCCCCATATGGAGGACTTCAAGTATTCTATAGCTTTAATCTCTTGTATGATAATGGTGGTCACAGCAAAACACATACCCACTACCTTAGAAGGCCCATTTCAGCCTGTAACTCGCACCTTCGATCCTTCGTTGCGTCGGGGCAGTGATGACTTGCCTATGAATCATCCAAGGCTCAAAAGGAATGTGACCTCAATGTTCCCAGAACAGATAGCTCTTGCAATATCTTCACCTAGTTCAATGTGGGTGTCTTGGATTACTGGTATTGCTCTTGTCAATTATGTACTATGTGTTCGTGCTTTTCTTGTTCTGTTTCTTTAGTTGATAGAATATTTCTAGGGTTGAATTGGGTTGTGTTTGAATTGATTTTTTAGGGGATGCCCAGATTGGTCTCAATGTGACTCCACTTGATCCATCCATGATTGGAAGTGAGGTTTGGTATGGGAAGAAAAGTGGCAAGTATTCGATGAAGCAGACCGGGGTTTCAACGATTTACAGTCAGTTGTACCCATTTGAGGGTCTTTTGAACTACACCTCTGGCATCATTCATCATGTGAGGATTGATGGTAAACATTTACAAAATCTCCGTAATTATTAATATGTCTTATTGTTTATTTTAAATAAAATAGTATGTCTTAGTGTTTGTGATAACTATGCTTGAATTCTACTTAAAAGATTAGAGAGAGAGAATTACTGTGGCCGACCCCATTCTTATGGGATTAAGGCGAGGATGATGATGCTTGAATTCTACTTGCATATATGTTGGATTTGAATTATTTTCAACATTCATCATCGTCAGGAGTGGTTCATGATATTCTGAATAATTATGTTGTATCGATTAGTTTATTGCAGCACAACAGTGTTAATTGAAATTATACTGATTGGGCCATCATCAGCAAGTTGTTTAGACCTATTTTTGTTAGTTTCTAAGTTTTAAAAAGCATTACAGAGTAAATTGTTTAGGGTGCCTAATTGTTGAGTGATTGATAAGATAATTTAACAAATCATGAGCCCTTTTACCATTCTGTTTGTACAAAGATTAAGGTGTTTGGTTTTCTTGTAGGTCTTGAACCTGGAAGAAAGTATTATTACAAGTGTGGGGATAGTTCTTTACCAGCTATGAGTGAGGAGCATGTCTTTAAAACCTTACCATTGCCTGGCCACAACATGTATCCTCGTCGAGTGGCTGTTGTTGGAGATTTAGGTCTCACAAGTAATTCCACAACAACCGTTGATCATCTTATCGAAAACGATCCTTCCATGATTTTAATGGTTGGAGACTTGACTTATGCAAACCAGTACCTTACAACTGGTGGAAAAGGAGCTTCATGCTATTCATGTGCGTTCCCAGATGCACCCATTAGAGAAACATTTCAACCCCGCTGGGATGGGTGGGGAAGGTAAATTGAAATTCTCATATTAGTTGTATAAGTGAAATTTCTTTTAGTGAACTATGACTGGAGATATATTCTCATCTTCCGTAATCCGTTAATTTTTTGTACATATGCAATTCAATTTTTTTTCCTTCAGATATAGGCTTGCACTGTAGTTATGATAATGGAAAATCTTATTTTTTTTATTCTTGTATGTCTGAATTTAGCCTGGGTTTATTTATAACTTCAATTGACTAATTTGAAATTGAAAAAAATTGTTCTCATTCAGATTGCATGCAAAACTTTGATATATGCTTCCCTCTATCAATAAACAAAAATAATTTGATAAATGTTTTATGGTGAAAATCAGTGATAAATTGTCAAAATAAAGTCTGGCCATGCCATTGCCCATTGGAACAGTATATGGCCCTTGATAATCATGGTATACACATTAATTCAATCCAATGTTAGTTTGATCACTGACATATTTACCTTGGAAGTCTAGGTTCATGGAGCCCCTGATCTCAAGAGTTCCTATGATGGTTATAGAAGGCAACCATGAGATTGAGCCTCAAGCTTCTGGAATCACTTTTAAATCATATCTGACGAGATTTTCCGTTCCCTCGGATGAGTCTGGTTCTAACAGCAACTACTACTACTCATTTGATGCTGGAGGAATTCATTTCATCATGTTGGGAGCATATGTGGACTACAACAGTACTGGTGACTGATAGCATCCCTTAGATTGGTAGATATATCATTGTACATTGTAATACATTCATCTCTTTTGTTGTTTACCTCAATACCAGTATTCCTATTTTATCTCTGACACTGCAAGCATTTTGCAGCTTAAAGTTCCATAATATGTCTTTGTGTTCATCAAATCCTTATTAATTCAGGTGCTCAGTATGCTTGGCTAAAGAAAGACCTACACAAAATAGATCGCAGTGTGACTCCTTGGCTAGTAGCTGCCTGGCATCCTCCTTGGTATAACAGTTATTCATCACACTATCAGGAATTTGAATGCATGAGGCTGGAAATGGAAGCACTTCTGTATCAATATGGTGTTGATATTGTCTTTTCTGGTCATGTAAGTTGTAATTTGCTCTTCTTTTTTTTTTTTTTTTTTTTTTTTTTTTTAAACTTAAATGTGAAAAGGTGTGATATCTTGACCAGTTCCCATCATTCCAGTTCTTACATATTGAGGATTTTCTTTTTGCCATAAAGGTTAGGTAACTTGTGTCTAATAATGTTTTCCTAAATGTATTTGTGATTTTTGCTTTTGGCTTAATTTTTTTATTACTAATTTTTTTCTTGCTACCTTTAATCCAATTTATCTAATTATTGAATAACAAATATGGCAGAAAATGCAGCAATCATTGCTTACAAACATCAGACAATCAAAAGGGTTAACAGCTTCCCCTTTTATTGCTGTTGACCTGTGATGTGCTGATGCAAATTCGTATTATTAATCTTTTACCCTATATATAGTTGCTAAAAGGTAGGAAGATGAGATTTCAATGGGGAATTGGTTCAAATTTAGCATGTCATAATGTTGTTTTTGCATGTTAAGCTAATGTGTCATACAAGTTTGAGTGAGTGGAAGCTGATATTTAACAAGTTTATTAATGGAAAATATATATATATATAAAAGTTAACTTGCTTAAGGTTTTATATGTTTAGATATGAAGTTTTGCGGCCTTTGTGGGCAAAAATGAAAATAATAGACTTCCAATTTAACTTAAGGAATTTTCTTGAGAGCTCTTAACTAAATATGATATATGCACCCCTGCATCCTCTGTACTTATGGTCTGCATGCATATCCCAAGCACTCATATAACATTTTAATCCATCAAAGCCTTCTATCTTTTTAATCATTCTGTATCCATGCGGAGAAGCTATTTCCCATTTCAAACGCATAACCTCCAGGTCACAATAGAGTAATTTTATTGTTGCGCCAAGTCCTGCCCTCTAGAGTTTTTAACGATCTCAAACTCAGCAAAATTCCCTTGCAGTTGTTCTATATACCTGTTTAAGTCACTTTTGACACTCGCATCATTGCTAGATTCTAATCCCATTTTTTTCTTTGCTCTATATTATATAGTCTGTTATGGACCTTTTTCTGCCCTGCTTCATTGTGATTGCAATTCAACGGTCACCTAACACGAAAAATCAGGTCTTCACTTGCCACCTACTTCTAAGTTTAAACATAATATCCTCAATTCCTCATCATTTCTTGAATAATCTGGCATGCCACTTGTAATGATCATTTGAAGCATCTCCTAGCCAATAATCTTTGACAATACTGAATCATGATTAACATCCTGAAGTACCAATCCAAGTGTTTCTCATGCTCGAACTTGTATTATGGACCTTAGTGCTCAACTATCCACTGTTCTAGTTCTGCATTTTACCTTCCGAATTCTCAACAGCAACACCATGTTATAAGCATATCATACACCAAGAATGGAGATTGATTTTGGATTTCCAAGGCTAGAAAAAAGGAGAGTGATGCTAGAAATATAATTTTTGCGAGTCCACTTTGCATGTATACTGCTGTAACTAAGATTTTCCATCTTTTGAGACCAACTTTATGATTTTTTACAATAGCACCATGATCAAATGTGTTCTTCGTTAATTATTTGAATTTGGATTACCAAGTGAATTTCAGAAGTTTGTGCTCTCATCTCTTGAATGTAGCCAAATCTTGCAAAACCTATTGCTTTGTAATGGATTTTCTACTTCACCAGCTTTTTCTTGATAGCATTTGGGGTAACCTCATCAATTGTTGATTTCAATGTTCCTTGCACTTTATGTAAAAATTGGAAGGAGGGTTCTCCAAAGAATCATTCTATCCCGAAACAGTCCAAGGGGGAATAAAGTTAATCAGAATTGATCTTTCATCACTTCTTTTATTTTTTTCCCGATAAAAGCAAACAAGTTTTGGACACCCATCGACATACACTTTATATTTCATCACATTAGTTGTGACTTATGGGTATAATGGGTTAGCAGTTTTTTTTTTCCTTTCCCCTCACTTATGACATTAAATCATTAAAAGAACTTTGAATTCAATATATATATATATATATATATACAATCAAATGATTTTCCTGGAATGAGATTGCAAATATCTTCCACATTTAAATTGTATATCAGAAATTACTTGTCAAAAAATAAAAAATTGTATATCAGAAAATGTTTCATAATTTGGGGAGCCACTGAGCCAGTTGAAGTGTGGCAGCATATAATTCAATTAATCCTTAATGAAGATCCATATTTATTCTTTATCTGTAAAGTGCTAACTTCCTTCCAGGTGCACGCTTATGAGCGGATGAATAGAGTATTCAATTACACATTGGATTCATGCGGACCTGTCTACATAACAGTTGGAGATGGTGGTAATATTGAGAAAGTTGATGTTGATCATGCAGATGACCCTGGGAAGTGTCCGTCAGCAAGTGATAACACACCAGAATTTGGTGGGGTATGCCATTTGAATTTCTCTTCTGGCCCTGCTAAAGGGAAGTTTTGCTGGGAAAAACAACCAGAGTGGAGTGCGTACAGAGAGAGCAGCTTTGGACATGGAATACTTGAGGTAAAGTCTAAGCTTTTAGTTCTGTTCACTACACACATCTGGGCATTGCTCGAGAACATTTAAACTCTCTTAAGAATTCTTGAAATACTTCTTCTTCTTTTTTCTTTTCTTTTTTTTAACAATATTGTTTACATTATTAATTTTTGGAAATGAAGTGGCTTCAATTTTAGTTAGCTTTTCAGCTGACTATGTTCCATTGGGTCCTCTTTAGTTTTCTAGTGATTCTTGAGGATGAATTTTTTTCTCAAATATCTAAAGGGTGGTTACGTGTTCTAGAGGAATCGTTGGAGTCCATTATTTATCTGATGGCATCTATTCTAATTGTTTTTCCTAATAACCGTTTGAAAATAAAAGCACTTTGATATTTCAGTAAGTGACCTCTTTTTCTCTTTGAATTGTGTTCTTATAGTGAAGTCTCTATGTCTCAATACCTTCTCGTGTGTTCAGAAACTAGATGAAAATAAAATGGCTTGCTCAATTTCCATGGAATGTTCAAAGATGTCGATTTGTCTATATATTGTCCAAATACCTTTCTTCCATAGGACCATAACTTAGATATATGCTTTTGGGGAATAATTAGAGATTCTTGTGTTCTTTGGTAGTTTTCTTTAAAGTTGCTTCTCAAGACACCCTCATTCCATTGAATCTTGGGAATTTTAGGGAAAAAAGGGTGGAACTCCAGATCTAATAACAGCCACCCGAATCTAGATTAAAAAATGTTCGAAGTTAGCAGATGTTTCCCTTTGTTTTCTCAGAAACTGCAAGTCCTATTAATAACCATTTGCTCTTTGATCCATGCATGTACTTTCCAAAAAAATAAAAATAAAAAATAGCACGGGCTCTGGTTGGTATATTACGAGTTCTCATTTCTTTTGCTTCAATAACTTGAATATTCCTTTTCTTTTCTTTTCTTTTCTTTTTATAAATTTTGGAACAGGTTGTGAATTCTACATATGCATTGTGGACTTGGCACAGAAATCAGGATATTTACAAGGAAAACAGCCATGGCGATCAAATATATATTGTACGACAGCCTCAATTGTGCTCTACATCTTCAAAAGTAATTTCCTAACTCCATTCTTCTGTTTAAATAGTTTCTTAGGAATTTTGATAAGGCCATCATCGTTGAAATATTTATATTCTTATGGTAGATTATGAATGCATTCTTGAAGCTTCTATAGCTATATAGACTGAAAATGAGCAATCCTAACCGTATCCATCCAAGAATTGTCGACAAAGAGGGCAACCTCATGATTTAGCAAAGGTTTTCTTTTTAATCCATGGTTTTATGAACATCCTTCTAATTAGTTTGTGAGGCCAACACATTGATTCCCTTAGGGAAGGTAATGCTCCCATCTCTTGCAACATAATATCTAGAATTTTTTTTTTTTCGTAAATTAATTTACGTCTTCGATTAATTGATGCAAGAGTTAAGTGAGGGTTCTGGGAAGAAATTGGTGGTATCATTATGTGCAGTTATAATCTTTGTGTTTTGTAGGGTCTCTAAATGTGTTCAGTGTTTTAGTGCAGGATATTGAAATCAAACCACCTTTGAAACAAATGGACTCCACAGCAGGACTCGAAGTTCCCTTGTTTGGTGGCTTTATCTTCTACTTGTTCTTTTTCCTAGTTTTGCTTCATTAGTTGTCGTTGATTTAAGAAATGTGTGACAGTTTATGTGGGGGCTGTATTATTTGTGTGTGTGTGTGTGTGTGTGTGTGTATATATATATATGCAGTAATACTTTATTATATTAGATTTGTACCATACTACCATGTATGTTTGCTATTTTAACTCAAAATCAATATTTAATTTACTACCTGACTAAAAAGTCTGATTATATGCAAAAGAATCGCTGTTCAAGGGTGATTTGTGAAGAGAGAGATTAGCACTATAAATGAAAAATAAAATAAAGGCAAGTATGAAATGAAATATTGCAGTTTATGTCACTTTCAAACCTAATATGACAATGAAATTTGTAATTTTAAAATATTAAAAAAATAATAATTCCAAAAAAAAAATACTCACATACACACACAAGGGATACTATATCTTTATATAGCATATGAAGAAATACTGGTTACACTTTGTGTGATCATGAATATTATAGGTAAATTTTCGTACAGACCAGTTTAAAGTAATTGGGTTTAACCGCTTGGAGCTTAAGAAACTTTTTTTGGAACTAGTAATTACTCCGTAGGAGCTTTGCTACGGCATATATTTCAATTATATACTACAGTATGTATTTCATTTTTTTCTTTTCTTATTCTCGGAGCCCTTGGCCAATTGACTTCCTTTTTCTTTGTGAAATGCAAAATTACTAATTAGATTCTTGATTTTAAGTTTGGTTAAAATATACATATATTTAAAATATATATATACACACAAATTTATAATAACAAAAGTAAATAAAACTAAAAAATAATTAAAGAAAAAGAACAATTGAATTTGATTTAGAAAACTCCAATTCAATATTCTAACAAATTCTTCAATAGAATAAAAATGGGTTCAAATTAAGAGTAACGAGTATTGGATGGAAAAGAAAGAGAATTATTGGATGTGTTATGATAGTCCAGTGGTAGGGCATGTGCTGCTTATTGCCAAAGGCCCATATCTTGCGTTTGGTGTACATAAATGGAATGGAATGCAAGTGGGAATAGAATGAGAATGTGAGTGGAATGGAATGATCATTCTCATTCTATTGTTTGGTTGTAAATATGTTATGTGTAGGATTGAAATTATAATAGCTATTTTAGTGTTTGGTTGGACCAATTTAAATTTATAATGGAATAAATTTCAAATTGAGTTCTCCAAAATATCTCTTACTGAAAAATAAATAAAATTAATAAAATGATATTCTTCTATAATTTTTCAAAAATAAATAGTGGCACTGGCGGTAGTCGAGGTAGAAAGCGGTAGTAGTGTAGGTAGCGGTGATGGAAGCCAATAGAGATGACTGTTGTGGTGAAGGAATGCACTAGAGGTGGCGGTGGTTGATGGTGGTGGTGGTGGTGGTGGTGGTGGAAGGCGGTGGCGGTTGAAGGTAGCGGTGAAAGGTGGTGGCAGTGGTGGAAAACAATAGTGGTAGAAGGTGGTGGTGGTTGAAGGTGGTGAAAAGCGATGGCAGTGGAAGGTGGTGTAAGACGATAACTGTGGAAGGTGGTTGCGGTGGTGGAAGGCGATTTCAGTAGTGGTGGTGAAAAGCGGCAGTGGTGGTGAAAGGCAGGGGTGGTGATGGTGGAAGGCGGAAGCGGTAGCGGTAGTGGCGGTGGTAGTAGTAAAATGCGATGGCAGTAGTGGTGGTGGATGGCAGTAGCAATGGAAGGTAATGGCGGCGTTGGAAGACGATGGCGATTGAAGGTAATGACGGTGCTGGAAGGCGGTGAGGTGGTAGCGGTGGAAGGTGTTAGCGGCGGTGGTGGTGAAAGGTGGTGAAAAGCTATGGCGATGGTGGAAGGCTATGGTGGTGGTTGTGGTAGTGATGGCGATGGTGAAAGGCGATTGCGATAGCAGTGATGGTGGTGGTTGCGGCAAAAGAAGGCAGTGGTGGTGGAAGACGGTGGCAGTGATGGAATTTGGTGCTTGTGGTGGTAAAAGGTAAAGGTGGTTGTGGTGGTAAAAGGCAAAGGTGGTTGTGGTGGAAGGTAGTAGTGGTTTTTAGACTTAGAACATGAGGGTTTTTTTTGGAAAGTTAATTTAAAAAAAAAAAAAAATTACTTGGGAATGGTCATTCTCACTTTAAATTACATACCAAACAAAGGAATGGTTGGAATGGGCATTCCATTCCATTCATGCATACCAAACGCAGTATTAGTGTTCTTGTAAAAAATGAAAATGAGAGAGAGAAAGAAGGGATATAATATATATATATATAAATCTTGAAAATAAAAAGTTATTTAATGATATAAATCTTTGGGTCCAATATTTCTTTATTGGTTAAAGTTTAATTAAAAAACGTGAATGAAGAGGTTAGAGAAAATAAAAAGTTATTTTATGATATAAATTTTTGAAGTCTAATATTAAATTTCTATATTGATTAATTTTTAATAATATTAAAAAATAATTATAATTTTGAGGCCCTTCCAAATTGGAGACCTAGGTGACCGCCTGGGTCGCCTATTCCTAGGGTCGTGTAATTAATATATAAATAAATATTCTACTATTTTCTATAATTTAATCTTTTTTATTTTTTATGATAATTTTAAATTTTAATAATTTTTATTATGATTTTTAAATATTTGACTATATTAAAAAAATTGTAAAATTTATTTTAAATTTGTTCACGTTCAAATTATTTTCTTTAAAAGTATGCATATTGGGGCCAAACTCGCCCCAAACCAAATTTTAAAATAAAAAATTTCATTAATGGACGAATTTTAAAAAAAGAGTGTCCCGTCCCGAATTTTTTCAGTTTACATCCTTGGATTACAAAAATTAACACACAACGCCATCATGAACCATGAGTAACCAGGATCATTGACTGTGTTCAGTCTGTTGACCAATACGGCAATACCTATATAGCATACATGATGTTAGTCATTACGGAAGAAGGAAAATGATTTTTTCTTTAAGTCGGAGAGACCGAACAAGATGAGAGTGGGATCCACAACTGCGATATTTTGTATCTTTGAGTCGGATATTGTATCATTGGTCTGAATTCTAAAACTAGTAGTAAACTTTTGGCTGGCATTCGTCTTTAAGCTATATAATTTCCTTTTCTAAGCTATATGCATGGGAGTACATGTTAGGGATGAAATTTTTTAAGTATAACTGGTAGGAGAAAATTTTATTTTTTATTTACTTTTTTGGTTTTTTCTCAATTTTTTTCTTTTTCTGGTAAATAAAAAAATTGTGACCCAAATTTTAGATTTTTTTCATTTTGAGAGTAACCCAAAATTTAGATTGATTGATTGCTTACATACATGCACACCTATGTGCGCACACATATAAACGAGGTTTGAAACGCGGCACACAGTATTTTTAATTAATATAACATTCTCACAACAATATCATTTAGTAGCATTAAATAGTTTGAATCTGATTTTTAATCATATAAATGGCATCAAATTAAATTAGATGGTTGTAACTTTTAATAAAAGTCGCTTGCAAATCAAATCAAATAACAACAATCATTCGATTTTCACCTATGTCCTTTTTACGTCGAATGTTAAAATGGTCAAAAATATCATTTAATTTCATCAAATTACTATTATTTGGTTGCTTTGTACATTACCAAAGTATCTTTTTGAAAATGGGTAACCCTGTCCCAACAATATCCAATAACGTACCACTAGCAGTTAGGGTGAGTTTATTTTGATTAAAGTTGCTTTATAAATTACCGAATTATCCTTTTTGAAAATGGGTAACCCTGTCCTAACAATATCCAATAATGTACCACTAGCAGTTAGGGTGTGTTTATTTTGATAAAAGTGAGGGAGGGGAGGAGATGTGCGTATGCATGTGCACATATTATATATATATATATATTTCTTGAGATGATCTTGATCGCTGACCAGTTAAAAGTACAGTTTTACCCTCGTAGTCACGAAATAAAACTTCTCTCTTAATTCTTATTCAGTCAAAACAAGGCTACGAATTCATTGTTCTGTCAAAGGAATTTTCACGTAGTAGTGTGGTTTTGAATGTCTTCAGTCTCAGAACACAAGATTGTAGAAAGGTATCGTATCCTTCCTTTCTAATTTCAAGTCGAACAAAGCACGCAGTCTCAGTCAAGGGGAATCTTTATTGGCTTCTTCTATGCAACACCACAAGAAAGGCCGTGGTTGTCTTCTATAATCCCATTGACAAAAATCTGAAAAGGCTTGACGCAGAGCCAGAGCCAGAGCCAGAGCCAGCCCTAGAAGGGTCTCTGCAGTTTAAGATTGTGTCTTTGAACAATTGTTTGTGCGCTTATGCTTTTGTTGATTCCTGCACCAGTATTTGGGCTTTCACAGAAGAGGGAAATAGGTGGAATCGCATTATGACTATACCTTCTGTCAATGGCTTTACCTACCTCGGGTTGGTCAGGCCATTGTCCCTGAACAACACCGGAACATGTTTCGTGAAAATAAATCAAACCATCAGCTTGTATCGTCCCCAGGATTCCAGTTTTCATAGGATCATTACATTCAATGGCGCAACCTGGGGAACTTACCGAGATTCACTCCTCCTCCTTGATGAAAACACCTACGACAAGAAACGCATGAAGAAAATTACTCCCATGAAGAATTGATACTAGCCATAGATTGATGGCGTTAGAAGCTAGCAGGTGCTGTCTGGTGATGTACCTTCTTTTCTTTTATGGAGGGTGAGCTGATTGTTAGTGACTTGGTCTTTGGCACTTCTGGTTTTTTTTTCCTATGAAAGGTTCATACAGATTTTTTTAGCTACATAATTGAAGAACCTTCATCTATTAGCAAAAGACCATGTATGCAATACAATATAACTTTTTTTCAATGTCTGATTAGTAATTGCAATACAATGTCAATTCCACATTTGATGACTTAACTACTAATAGGCTTTCTCCAAATCAAACCATTCCAAGAATGGCCAAAAAATAAAGCTACCTAAACATACATATAGTCATTTATGTAAGTTTTTATAAATATTTTACCGCGACTCTAAGCTCACTGCGATGAATTCAAGCCGAAAATGGTTATTGCATCAC